CGTTCTACACGTGGCGCAAGAAGTATGGTGGCATGGACGTATCGGACGCCAAGCGGCTGAAGGCGCTTGAAGAAGAGAACGCGAAGCTGAAGAGGCTTCTGGCGGAGCAGATGATGGATGTATCGACGCTTCGTGAGATGCTGACAAAAAACTTCTGACGCCCGGCTCCAGGAGAAAAGCCGTGAGTTGGGCAATCGAGATGAAGGACTATTCGCAGCGGCGGGCCTGTGCCCTGGTCGGCATTGCGCCGCGCGTCTTCCGTTACCAGTCGAGCAGGCCGGACGATGCCGGTCTGCGACAGCGCTTGCGGGACCTGTCATCGGAACGGCGACGGTTCGGCTATCGCCGCCTGCACCTGCTGTTGAAGCGCGAAGGCGTGGCGGTGAACTGGAAGAAGCTCTACCGGATTTACAGGGAAGAGCGTCTGACGGTTCGAAAACGCGGCGGCCGCAAACGAGCCTTGGGTACGCGAGCGCCAATGGCCATTCCACAGGATCCAAACCAGAGATGGTCACTCGACTTCATGTCGGACACGCTGGTCGATGGACGCCGCTTCCGCATCCTGTGTGTCATCGACGACTTCAGCCGGGAATGCCTGGCGACCGTCGTGGACAACTCGATCTCGGGCGAACGTGCCGCTCGCGAACTGGATGCGATCGCCGAAAGGCGCGGCTATCCCTGCATGGTCGTCTCCGACAATGGCACCGAACTCACCTCGAATGCCATGCTCGCCTGGCAGCAGAACCGCAGCGTCGAATGGCATTACATTGCGCCCGGAAAACCGATGCAGAACGGCCTCGTGGAAAGCTTCAACGGCAGGCTGAGGGACGAGTGCTTGAACGAGCATCTGTTCCGCAGCTACCGCCATGCCCGGCAGATCATCGAAAAATGGAGGATCGACTACAATCTCAACCGGCCACACACGAGCCTCGACGGGCTCACACCGAACGAGTTTGCAACCCGGTCCGCAATGGACCACAACGTGAACAGGGCTAACCTATGAATGGGTACATTCAGGGGAGCACGTCATCGCCACGGTGAATCTGACCCGCTCCCCTTTGAGTCCGCGCTGATAGGTTAGCTCTGTTCAGGTTTTGAAGTGCTTCCCTTTTTGGATCGCACCGAACCGGAACCTCCGGGGGTGATGTCTCATGCGGCGGAACTGAGAAGCACCTGTCGTTCGACCATCCGCATGCAAAAAGGATGGCGAGACGGTCGTTGAACTACAAGATATTTGTTCAAGCCGCATTTGGTCACGTTCCTTGTGGGGAATGAATTGTCGCAGCCTGCTCGCCAGTTAGCCCGGTTCGCTTGAATGGATTGCAGGCAAAGCATTTTCGGTCACCAGCCGCATGCCCAGATGCGGGGGCGGGGCGCCGACCGCGCAGCCGCCGCGCGCCGGATCGCGCACGAGGAACGGGATTACCGCCTCGTGTTCACCGCCGACATGGTAGGCAGGACACATCGGTGTCTTGGCGGTGTCCGAATCGTCGATGTAGCAATCCTGCGTCCATTCCCAGACACTGCCGTTCAGGTCGGCGATTCCCTCTTCGGTTGTCGACCATGAACCGCTGGGTTGGAGACGACGCCCCGTCCGTTGCTCCAGCAGATAGTCCGACGCCCATGACAGGGACGGATCGGTGAAGATCGGGTCGGGTTCTTCCGGCAGCACGGGTTCTGCCATCGCGTACCATTCCCGAGCGGTGGGCAGCCGGAAGCGGTGTCGGGACACGCGGTTGATCCAGTTCAGATATTCGTTCACATCGAGCCAGTTCAGGCCCGTCGCCGGCCATTGTTCCGCTTCACCGCCCCGAGGTGGCCTCAGCAAAAGCGTACACGCGCCATCGGCGTGACACCGGTTCCATTCGGCGATGGTGACTTCATGGGCTTGAACGTAGAGTGGTCCACCGCTTTCGGAGATCACTGGCCTTTCCGCCATCTGCGGGACGTAGTCCATATTCGGACCGCGCCCGGTCACCAATGCGGAGACGATGACGACGCACACAGCCAGCAGCAAAAGGGAAGCCGTTCCAAGCCGCTCCGATCGTGACATCGCCATCATCGCTCATGTCTCCGCCGTCAGCCCTCGAACGGCCTTGGCGCCACGACCTGCTCCATCAGATCGTTGTCCCAGGGACCCTCGACCACGAAGTGGGCCGTCGCGCCCTTGAGCGCCGCGATGATCAGATTGTGGTTGACGTAGGCGTAAACGCCCGGCTGTTCGAAAGTATACATCGCCGCCGCCGCGCAGCCGCCGCGGACAAACCATGTCTCGACGCCCGTCAGGGGCGGATCGGTGAACGAGGTCTCCCAGACGAAGTTGCCGTGCCCGCCGATCAGGTGTGGGCGGCTGTCCACATTGCAGGAGTTGTGCACCATGAGCACTGTCTGGCCGACCTGCGCTTTGAGGGCGTTTGCACCGGTCAGCGCGCCGACCGCACCGTTGAAGACCTGGTGCGTGGGAACGAGCGTCGCCATCGCCTCAAGGCTGTCGGCATAATCGTCGCCGGCGGTATCATAGAGCTTGAAGTCCCCATTCTCGTCGCGCGGGAGGTAGTAGTCCTGTTCACCGAAATAGGCGATCGAGTCATAGCGCAGAGGATTGCCCTCGGCATCCTTGAGGCCGTCGCGCGGCAGAACCATGATGGCGCCGTTCATGCCGTGGCAGACATGGTAGGGGATCATCGCGCCGCCAGGCGCGCAGTGATAGGTGAAGCAACCCGTCTTGGTCGCCTTCCAGCGCAGTACCGTTTCCTCACCCGGATAGATGTGGGTCAGCCCGCCTCCACCGAGCGCGCCTGTGGAGGCATGGAAGTCGATATTGTGCTCCATCGCGCTTTCGACCGGATTGCGCAGCGTCAGTTCCACGTAATCGTCCTGATGGACGATGATCAGCGGACCGGGAACCGAACCGTTGTAGGTCAGCGCCCAGATGCTCGCGCCGGTATCCTCGTCGATCGTCATCAGCCGCTCATGGGTCACCATTTCGATCTCGACGATCTTCGGCGGGCCGCTGGCGACCTGCTCGTGCTCGGGCGCGAAGGGCGGGTCAACCAGTTCCTGGCGAACCCGCTCGAGACCGGACAGATCGGCGGGCGCGGCCTCGGCCATTTCGCCCGACGCCGATTCCACCGTAATCACCGGGCTCGAGCGGTGCATCCGTGGCACGGATGGCACCGGACGCGGCATCATCGACGCATGAGCGACGCCGCCCGTCAGGGCCGCCGCTCCGGCAAGCGCCGTGCCGCGTAAGACGTTACGGCGGCTCGTGACGACTTTTTCGGCGTTGATGGATTTTTTCATTGCAGCCTCCTTGGCTAGTGCGTGCGTGACGCGGCGGGTTCAGGTGCCGCGCCGATCCGCGATCACAGGTTTGAGAGTTGGGCTTCGAAGCGCTTGCGCGCGCGTGGCGGAATGCGCCCTTCGAGATAGTTCTGCGGCGCCTCGCTCACCTCGCCGACGGCCAGCGTCATGACCATGCCCATGGCGTAGTGCGGCAGGCACTTGATGCCGTACAGGCCTTCGGCGTCGAAGGTGATCTCGATCTCCTCGTTGATCTTGCCCTTGAAGGGCTCGGCCCCTTCGGGGATCATTTCGAGAATGGATTCTGCGTTGTGAGCGGGATCGGTCGCGATGAACTTGACCGTGTCGCCGGGTTCGATCCGAAGAAGATCCGGCTCGAAAACCATCGCGCCGGCTTCCCCCCGGTTGAGCATCTGGACTTCATGCATTTCAGCAAAGGCCGATCCGGCCATCGCCACGCCAATAGCCAGAGCGGCTGTCATCACGCGCACCATCTGTCATTCCTTTCTTGACTTGCCCTTGTTTGATGCGACCTTATCGGCGAGCGCAGCTGAAACGTTGTGCTGCCACAAACAAATCACGGGCTCTTCAAGGAACGGCGAACCGACCGACAAGGAGGAGGCGTCGTCGCCACAAAACCTGACAAGGGGGCGTCTCGGGTGCGAGCGGTCGAAAGAGCAAAACACGCGCGGAGACTTGACGAGAGCCTGCTGGATCAGGTCGGACCGTTTGCGAGGCTGACCGCCGCCGAACGCCGCCAAATCCTCGATCGTGCCGTTTCCAGTCGTTTTGAGCAGGGGGCGCAGATTTTCGAGGAGGGTGCGGTCGCCGACCGGTTCTACCTGCTGCTGGACGGCTATGTGCGCGTCGTGCGTCAGACAAAAGACGGCGAACAGGTGATCATGCTGCACATTCCCAGCGGGCAGTTGATCGGGATCGCCCAGGCCTTTGACCGCGACACCTATCCGGCCACCGCCGTCGCCGCCAGCGAATGCGTGGCGCTTGCCTGGCCGGTGTCGTTCTGGAACGTCCTCGTCGAAGACTATCCGGGCTTTGCGGGCGCGGCGATGAAGACGATCGGCCTGCGGGTCAAGGAGTTCAACGAGCGGGTCGTGGAGATGGCGACGCTGCAGGTCGAACAGCGCATCGCGCACATGGTCCTGCGCCTGGTCAATCAGGCCGGCCGCAAGTCAGCCGATGGGATCGAGATCGCCATGCCCGTGACGAGACAGGATCTTTCGGAAATGACCGGCTCGACCCTGCATACGGTGAGCCGTCTGCTGAGCGCCTGGGAAAAGAAGGGTTGGGTCAAGAGCGGCCGCCGCCGCATCATCGTCAGGGAACCGCATCAGCTGGTTCTGTTGAGCGAAGGGCGAAGCTGAGCCCCGATGGCCCGGTGCAGGTCGGCGCGAAATGATTGCTCATCGACACCGTGCTCCCTGCAGGCGTCGATGACCGTATGAAAGGGCGCGATGAGGCAACCAACGCAGAGCAGCCGATAGTCGAGAAAGACCCGAATGGTTTCGGGCCATCGCGTCATCAGCTCGTCAAGTGGCAGATCGGGGTTTTCAATAGGATGTGACATCGCAATTGCCTTGACCTGGAACGACAAGCCTAATTCGGAAAGCGGACGCAACGTTGTGCGATCGCAAACTCGACATAATCAGGCATTTGCGACGGGCACGTTCGCTCATCGGTCACGGCAGCGGGCTGACGCCGAAAAGGACTGGGTGGATTGCGACAAAAACCAGGTAGAGAACCATTGCGATCAAAAGGCGCGCGGCGAAACGAGGACCAAAACGCCTGAAGTCGAGCGATCGGCCGTGCCGCCGGGCGTGATCGAGTTCATCCCATCGCGCTCCGAGTTCACGCCGCTTGCGGCGATCGACGAGGCGTTGTCCAGCCAGCGCAAAAACCGCGAAGGTTCCGAAAAGGAGGACATGGGCCAGATCGCCATTGGGCACGATATGGGCGCCCGCCCACAAGCCGAGCGCCATGAGGAGCGGATGGCGGGTCCATCCGACAATGCCGGGGCGCGCCGGATCGAATGCGTCGTTGTTCGCGCCACCGAAGCAGAACGGGTTCGGACGGGCAACGGAGAGCGCGACGATCAGGCACACCGGCGCCATGACGATCAGCGGGACGTAGGGTTGCCACGGCGCCCAGGGCCAGAGCTGCAGATAGGGTGCGCGATCGGCCGCGACGATCAGCCATCCGAGGGCGGCCAGCGACAGCGCGGAATAGGCGAGGATGAAGCCGCGGCCGCCGATCCATCCGGCGATGCGCTCCCGGATCGGTCTTCTCACCGGCACCGAATGAGACACAAAGAAGAAGCCGGCGGCGGCGGCGAATTCGGTCCAGCCCATGGCTCATGACCTTGACCGTGGCGCGATCAGCAGCCGGCCATAGATCAGGGCGAACCCGAAGAAGGCGCAGAACCAGGCCAGCCCGGAAACCAGATGAAGGATGGCGGCCACATCGGCAAAGGCGCCCGAGGTGAGGCGCACCAGCGTCGCCGCAACGACCAGCAGGTAGATCGCCGTCGTGGCGGGGCCTGCGGTGAGTTCCTGGCCGGTGTGGCCAAGCGTGGCGCGCGTCATAACGGCGAGCGTCATCAGCCCGATCCCGCCCGCCATCCACAGATGTTGCGCAGCCGTCACGCCAGCCAGATTGGTGGAAAGAACGGAAAAACCGACGACGATGGCGCCCAGAGGCACAAAGGCATAACCGGCGTGCAGCACCCAGACCAGCGGTTCGGCGCCGGTGCGGAAGCCAGCCCAACGGACGAGGCGCGCCGCATGCGCCAACCCGGCCAGAAGCAGCAAAGAGCCGGCGACCGAGGAATCCGGTCGCGCGATCCATACCAGGAGCGCCGCCAGAAGCGTCAGTAGCGCCACTTTGTCGAAACGCCCCATGGGCGGCGATGGCAGCTGCCCTGCGCCGCGCTTGACCAGCCAGTTTCGCGTGAACGAGGGAACGATGCGCCCGCCGATCAAGCCAATCAGCATAATGGCCGTCGCCAGGCCGATACGCAGGCCGTAACCTTGCGCTGCAAAATCACCCCGCGCGGCCTCCCAGTGGAAGGTGCCGTTGCCCGCGACCAGGGCGGCGAACAGCCCGAGCACCATCAGGTTGCGCCGGTTCTTACCGGCGACGATCTCACGTGCGATGACCAGCGCAAACAGGACCGGAAAGGCCAGATCGACGAAGGCGACCGTGGCCGGCGACCAGAATGCCGACGTCGCGATCGCCACGCGACCCGGGAGCCACAGCAGGAAAAGCCCGCCGAGCGGCCAGCCGGCGATTGGCAGACGGCCCGTCCAGTTGGGCACGGCGGTCAGAAGGAACCCGGCGATTATGGCGCCGAGATAGCCGAAGAGGAACTCATGGGCGTGCCACGATATCGGATCCAGCCGCGTCGGGAGCTCCACGGCCCCCGCCAGCATCGCCAGCCACAACACCATGGCAAGCGCCGCCCAGATCGCGCCGCCGAGGAAAAACGGCCTGAACCCGTAGCTCAATATTGCTGGGCCCCGCCAGGCGCGGGACCGTTCCATGGTGCCGACCGCATTCATGGCAGCACCCGTGTGCGGTCGGCAAGAATCGTGCGGCTGGTGTTGATGACGCGTCCTGCCGCATCGCAGGTCAGTCGAACCTGCCGTCCGGCGTGCCAAAAAGTGAGCCGATAGCGTCCCTCGTCTTCCCCGGCGCCTTTCTCAACCCGACCGGTTATCTCGCCGGCGCGCATGAGCGGTTGCACATCCTTGGGGTCTATGCCGAAGTGGCCGGCGAATAAGTCGACCGACACGGTTACGTCGCCGTCATCAATCTCCACGATCATCTGGCATCTCCCAAAGTCGGAAAGCTGAACGGCGCACGCGGCGAAAGCGCGCAGTCGGCCAGGGTGTGGGCGTTCAGATCGTCCAGGAACCGCGAACGCGCATCGGCCAGAATGCCTTTCAGGCGACAGCTCGGTGTGATGACGCAGGCGCCACCATCGGCCTGGAAGCACTCCACCAGTGCCGACTTGCGTTCCAGAACCGCAACGATGTCGCCCAAACGCAATTGCTCTGGGGCAGAAGCAAGGACGGCACCGCCACCGGTGCCTCGCCGTGTCTCGACAATTCCCGCGGCGGCCAGTGCCTGAACGGCCTTGGTCAGATGGTGGCGCGAGATGCCGAACTCGGCCGCGATCTCGGCGGTCGAGTGCGCGCGGTCAGGCTCGCTGGCCATACGCATCAGCGCGCGCAGGCCGAAATCGGTGAAGCTGGTCAGGCGCATGTTAAAAGTTGTCTTCCGTAATCAGGTTTTTTGGGCCTTGCGTAGCTTAGCAGCAATAAGCGGTATTTGAAATACTAATTGGAGCTGATCAAGGGGACCGCGAGCGTCAGCGAATGGATGTCAACTATGACCGCGAGGCGCAGCGTTCGGCTCGTGGTCGGGTGCGCGCCTGCACGATCTGCGCTTCACAGGTCCGGAAGGCGCCAAGGGCTTCGCAACGCTTCCGCTTCAAACCTGACAGGACGGAGGAGTTGGGTTCCATGCCCAATTCTCGCGGAAAGCGCTGATCAGGGATTCACCTTTATTGGTGCGATTGCCATATAAGGCTGCAAAAACAAAATCTTAGGCTTGTGCAGAAGCGGACATCTGTGGGTTGTCTTGCGACGCTCGGGACCGTTGGCCCTGTCTAAATCGACGGGCAGGAGAAGTCGGGCACGATGCCGCTGCGAGAGATGAACCTTTCCGTATCAAGCCCTGCAAACAATCCATGATCGCGCACCAATACGGTGCGGGTACCTGCCGCCCTGCCACCCAAAATGTCGGTGTGAAGCGTGTCGCCGACCATGGCGATACGGCGGGGCTCAATGGTTCCAAGCCGATCCATGGCATCGTTGAACGCATCGTTGAACGGCTTGCCAAACAAGACCGGGCTGTTGCCAACCGCATCGGCGATTTGATGCGCGTAATATCCCGGTTCTTGGCTCAGTCCATTCTCGCGCGGTGCCACCAGATCCGGGTTGGCAACAATGAGTGGGCGAGGTCGGTCGTCCAAGGCCTCGCGAAGCGCCTGTACGTGCTGATCAGTCAGTGACACGCTTGAGAGAAACACAAACCCATCGACGTCCTGGCCGCGCCAATGGTCGATGGCCACATCAAAGTCCTCAAAGCGATCATCGGGCGATGCGAGTGCACCCCAACGACCATCGGGCAAGAACGCGCCAAGGCGCCGCGCGGCCACATCGCGGCTCGAGATGACCTCATCCGCTTCGAAATCAAATCCAAGGCGGCGGTAGCGCTCGACCGCTGTCGCGAGCGTGTAGCTCGCCGCATTGGTCAGGACGATGAGCTTCTTGCCCGCAGCCCTGAGCGAAGACAGACACGCCACCGCTCCGTCGATCGCGGTCTCGCCCACATTCAGGACGCCAAAGCTGTCGAGCAGAAACGCATCGAACTGGTCCGCGATCTCCAGCAGGCCAGCGCACGCCTGGGTTGTTTGCGGGAATGTCGCGCTTGGTAGCCGATGGCGTATCTGTTCGTAGCGGTCAATGGCCGCCGCAGCTGAAAGCGTCTGGGCGTAGGTCATCAGAGGGGGCGATGCCGATCCGATTTGGGGTCATCGGACCGGTGGTTTTCGCAGATGAGCGTTGGGGCGATGCCCTCCCAGCCGCGCAGCAGGGCCGCCATCGGTGTGTCACGGTTAGCCCCGATCATACGCTTGAATATCCGCCTTCAATCATCATCAAGGCCCCATTGACGAGGTCGGAGGCGGGCGAGGCGAGATAGAGCGCCATGTCGGCGATTTCGACCGGCTCGCCGAATCTGCCAAGCGGTGTCGCCGCGATCATGGGGCCAGATTTTTCCGGTGGGCTCCAGACCTTTTTGCCCATTTCGGTCATCACAACGGTTGGGCAGATCGCGTTCACCTGAATGTTGTGCGGCGCCAACTCAGTCATCAGCGATTTCGTCAGCGCGTTCAGCCCACCCTTGGACGAAGCGTAGGCTGCATGGTCGGCCAGCGCGATAACACCCGTCTGCGAGGAGATGTTGATGATCTTGCCTGCCCCTTGCGCGATCATAGGTGGCGCGAGCGACTGCGCGAGCAGAAACGGTGCCCGCAAATTGATGGCCATCGTGCGGTCCCAATCCTCGGCGGAGAAGGCAAGAGCGGGGCCAACAAGGGCGACGCCGGCAGAGTTGACGAGGATATCGATGCACGGGTGGATCGCCAGCGCCTCACGCGCCAACAGTCGGCACCCTTCAACGCTTGCAAGGTCGGCGACGATGGTGCGGCAGCCCGTCCTGTCGGCAAGTGCGTCCAGGCGCTCTGCGGATTGGCCCGCTCCTATGACCTTCGCGCCCGCTTCGGTGAACACCGAAACAATCTCAGCACCGATGCCCGAGGACGCGCCGGTGACCAGTGCCGTCTTGCCGGAGATTGAAAAGCGATCCTTCCAGCTCACCGGTTCACTCCAGATTTGTGTGATTGGCGCGCATCGTGTCCGGCGGGATCCTTAGCTTGTCACGCAAATGCAGGATGAGCAGTTCGAAGAAAATGAACTGGGTCGCTTCGAACAGCGAACCCATGGGCAAGATGGATGTCGGTGCGCCCTGATCGTTGGCCATGGTCTGGGCTGGCAGATGAACGAGGTGATCAGCCGACTGCGGCGCTGCACCAGTTGGTTCCGCTGTCACGCACATGGTCGCCGCGCCGGCACCCTTTGCGGCCGATAGAAGCGCTGAAACCGTCGAAAAATCGCCAGGTCCAGCGCTGACGATCAGCAGATCGCCTGCGCCTATCGGCGGCGTTGTCATGTCGCCAACGACATGGGCATCGAGGCTGAGATGAAACAGCCGCATGGCTAGAGACTTCATCATCAGCCCCTCGCGTCCGACACCGTACAGAGCGATGCGCTTTGCCTGCTCGATGGGACCGGCCATGACGTGCAATTGGTCGGGGAGCGCCGCATCCAGCACTTCTCCCACTTCGAACAAGGCCTGTCTGGCGGTTTCCTGTCCGATCATTCCGCCGCCTGCTGGTTGCCATAAGTGAGCTTTGGCATGACTGCAGCGAGAGCCGCGTCGGTCAGACCGGTGTCCTCTAGAAAATCGAAGATCGTGTAGCGGCGCCGGATGAAGGCGGCCGCGCGCATCGTTCGCATCAGATGACCGGCATCGACGCCGATATGCGCCCCGTGTGTTGGAGCACCAGCTCGTTGCAGCATGGTGACCATTGTATCAGCGCGAAGCAGATGATCCCTCAGTCGCGTGCGCAGGGCTGGCCATGTTGCTATGATGTGAAGAAGACGTTCTCGTTGCTGCGGTTGGCCAATGTGTTTCGCGGCAACCTCCACCATCGCCTTGTTGGCGATGGAGGGATCGGCGATAGCCTGTCTTGCGGCCACGTGCTTTCCTGAAAGATTGGATGATGATGCAAGCACCGCGTCAACATCAAGGCCCGTCAGATCCTGATCGAGAAGCCAGTCGAACAGTGCAAGCACCGCAACGCAGCCTACCGAAACCGCTGCACCATGGCTGACTTTCCTGCCTTCATACGTGTGGCCTTCCATTTCCCACATGTGGGCAATCTGGTGGTCTGCACCTGACGCCGGTCGTGACGAGCCATGGAATTCCATCGCGAAGCCCACGGCGGTCAACCCGATAAAAAGACGGGCAACCGCATCGGGGTCGCTGGCCGCGATTCCCTGAGAGCCCGAAAGCCAGAAGCGCAAATGATCTTGAACGAGTGGCCAGGCCAGATCGTCAATCGGTTCAACGCCCAGTGCGTCGGCAAGCAGCCAATCGCCGCCTGCCGGCACCTTTCCAGCCAGGTCGCCATAGCCCCAACCGTTCATTTCTGCGGGCGCCGCCGCAATCACCTCCAGATCAGCCACCATTGCGATTGGTGCGCGTGTCGGGATGGTCACCTTGAAGCCGTCCCGCGCCAACGGCGCTCCCGCGCTGGTGTAGCCATCCATTGAAGCCGCTGTCGCCACGGTCACATAGGGGCGATCGGTTTCCTTCGCCGCCCACTTGACCAGATCATTGATGACGCCAGAACCAACGGAAACTGGAAACGTGCTCGAATCAGAGGCGAGACGCGCCCTGAAAGGCTCTGCCTCCTCGACTGAAGCGACGGGGAGCGGGTCGCTTGGCAAAACCAGCGTCTCCACGTCAAAGCCACTGGATTGCAGTGACTCCACCACCGGGGCACCGGCAGCAGCGAAGCCGGCATCGTCCGCCATTACCAGCACGCGCGATGCGCCTCCGACCGTTGCCATTGCGCGCCTGACGACCTGGCCGGTCTCGGCAAGCGCACCGTGACCGATGATCACTTCATGCGTGACCTTCGATCTGGCCACTGCCGGGTCGATGAGTTCGGTGATCTGTGCGGACCAACTGGTCAAAGTTCACATGCCTTCGTCAGAGTGCTTGCCCATCGGCACCGAACCGATGAAGGCGCTCGGGTGGAAACGCGAGTCGTACTTGATCTCCCTGGTTCACCGTGTCTTCGCCATCGGTCTTGATGACGATTTGCTCGCCATCTTCGGAGCGAGCGTAAAGATAGCTCTCTCCGCCAAGCTGTTCCTTCACCGTCACCTGCACAGGCAGTCCTGTTTCGGCGATGCGCACATGCTCGGGCCGAATGCCGATCTTGGCTGCTCCCGCACCGCCGACGACCTCGCCGAGCTTGCTCTGCGCCGCCATGATGTTCATCGCGGGCGATCCGATAAAGCCGGCGACGAACTCGCTTGCGGGCTTGTTGTACAACTCCAGAGGCGCACCAACCTGCTCAACCTTACCGCCGTTGAGCACCACGATCTGGTCGGCCATTGTCATCGCTTCGACCTGATCGTGGGTGACGTAGATCATCGTTGCACCGAGTTCCGTGTGCAGCGACTCAAGCTCGATGCGCATCTGCACCCGCAGCTTCGCATCGAGGTTGGAAAGCGGTTCGTCGAAAAGAAAAACCTTGGGGTGTTTGACGATTGATCGCCCAATGGCAACGCGCTGGCGCTGGCCGCCAGACAGCTGTCCCGGCTTCCGATCAAGCAACTCGGACAGCTGGAGAATGCGTGCGGCGTCCTGAACTCTGCGCGCTCGCTCATCGGCTGGTATGCCGTTGACCTTCATGCCGAATTCAATGTTCGCCCGAACCGTCATATGGGGATAAAGCGCGTAGGACTGGAAGACCATGGAGAGGTCGCGGTCTGCCGGATTGAGATCGGTTACGTCGCGTCCATCGATAGTGATCGTGCCGCGGTCCACACCCTCCAGCCCAGCGATGCAGCGCAGAAGCGTCGACTTTCCGCATCCCGAGGGGCCCACAAAAACAACAAAAGCGCCATCGGAAATGTCGAGCGAAACGCCCGACAATGCCTGCAGCGATCCATAGAACTTGTCGATCGTTTCAAGATGCACAGTCGCCACGAATTCCTGATCCCCCGCTTCACGGCCAGAGATGCCCCTCCAAACGCCCATACATTTTTATGTTGACAGATACAACTGTTTTTACATTTGTATAGACAGAGCGACAAAAATATCGCCTCAATGAGTCACCAAGGGAGGAGACAACCATGAAACTGAAGAGCCTTCTTGCGACCACCGCGCTGTGCGCTGGCATCGCATCACCCACCATCGCAGGCGCCTGGAGCCTGGAGGAGGCCGCCGCCCCCTATGCTGGAACGACCGTTGATGTCGTTTTCCTGCTGCGCCCGGGCTACGAGGCCATCGAAGCGATGTTGCCGGCCTTCGAGGAAGCCACCGGCATTGATGTGAATATCATCAAACATCCCTATGAGAACGCGCTCGGTGAGCAGGTGCGTGATTTTGTTGCCGGTGGTGATCTCGATATCGCCCTGATCGATCTCGTTTGGATCGGCAACTTCGTCGAAAATGAGTGGGTCGTCTCCGTCGATGAAATCATGGAGACCTATCCGGACATCATCGATCCGGAACTCAACATGGACGACTTCTTCCCGCTCGTGCTGAACGCGTTCGGCGGCTGGAACGACACCATCTATGGCCTGCCTTTCGACAATTACTCCGGCCTGATGTTCTATAATCGCTGCATGCTTGAAGAGGCTGGTTTCGATGGCCCTCCCGAGACCTGGCAGCAGCTGATGGATGAGTATGGCCCGGCTCTGACCACCGGTGATCAATACGCCTACGCGCTGCAGTCCAAGCGCAATGAGACCCAGTCCGCAGACAGCTTCGCCCGCATGCTGTGGCCTTTCGGCGGCTCGTTCCTTGACGCCGACTTCCGCTCGAACTTGCTGAGTGAAGAGAGCCAGGCCGGTCTTCAGTTCCGCCAGGAACTGATGCAGTACATGCCAGACGGCATCGTCGCCTTTGACCATGCAGAGACGGTGAACGCGTTCGCCCAAGGCGAGGTCGCCATGATCACCGAATGGTCGGCATTCTACTCGACAGTTGTCGACCCTGACACGTCGCGTGTTGCTGATTGCGTCGGAATCGCGCCGGAGCCGATGGGACCGGCGGGCCGTAAGCCAGCCCTTGGCGGCTTCTCGCTGGCCGTTGCCTCTCAGGCCGACGAAAACGAGAAAGCGGCAGCTTGGCTTTTCATCCAGTGGGCAACCTCCGCAGCGAATGCGGTCGAGTACCTTGAGCGTGGCGGTGTTCCTGCTCGCCAGTCGGCCTATGCTGATCCGGCGCTGGCCGAGACCTACACTTTCATCCCCGCGCTGGTGGAAAGCTGGCAGGATGGCGTGCCGGAGTTCCGCCCACGCTTCGCCGAATGGCCAGAAATCTCCGAAGTCGTTCAGGAGTGGGGTACCCGGATGATGCTTGGTGAGGTCTCCGTTGAGGAAGGCGCCGCCGAGATCGGCACCCGGATGGAAGACATCCTGGAATCGGCCGGCTACTACAGCGGCGACAAACCGCTCGCGCAGTAACCGATCTATCATCTGAGCTTGTCGGGGCGGCCTCGCACCGCCCCGATTGTCGCATTCGCCTTTCTGAGGACCAACGCCTATGCGCGGCAAGGCTTCCCGCAAGACGATCTTTGGGTTTGTCGGCCCCGCGGTCATCGCGCTTGCCGTCATCGGCATTGCGCCGCTCCTCTACGCCGCCTGGACCTCCCTGCATTTCTTCAATCTGACGCGCCTTCGCCAGCTTCGATTTGTGGGCCTTGAAAACTACGGAACCGTACTGACCGATCCGGTGTTCTGGCAGGCCATGGGCCGCACGTTTTTCCTTCTGGTCACATCCCTGCCTCTACAGATCGCATTGGGTTTGGGCATTGCCCTTGTGCTGCATCAGCCGGGCCTTAGCCTCGTCAAGACGCTGTGCCGGTTGAGTCTCGTGCTCCCGATGGCCACGACCTATGCAGTTGTCGGCCTGCTTGGCCAAGTCATGTTCAACCAGCGCTTTGGCGTGGTGAATCAGCTGATGGGCGGCGCGGACATCAACTGGATCGGCGATCCGACCAATGCATTCATCATGATCGTCTTCTGGGACGTGTGGCAGTGGACGCCCTTCGTGGCACTGGTGCTGCTCGCCGGCCTCAGCATGGTGCCCGGAGAGATCGAGGAGGCGGCAAAGCTCGAAACCAAGAAGTGGTTCACCATTCTCCGTTACGTGCAACTCCCCTTCCTGATCCCGGGACTTGTGGCGGTGCTCATTTTGCGTACCGCCGATACGCTGAAGCTGTTCGACATGGTTTTCACGCTCACCCGAGGTGGCCCGGGCGCATCGACCGAGTTCATTTCGCTGATGATCCAGCGTGTCGGCTTCCGCGCTTTTGATCAGGGCCTTGCATCGGCGCAGGCAATTATCCTTCTGATCATCACCATCATTCTGGCGCAGATCTACATCCGCGTCTTCTACAAGGAGGTCTGAGGTAATGAATTTGTCTCAGCGCTCCGCTTTCATTCAGCTGTTGCTGTTGTTCGCAATCATCCTCGTGTGCGTATTCCCCTTTTACTGGATGGTGACCACGTCGCTGAAAACGCAGGTTGTCGCGCTTGAAGCGCCACCTGTCTGGCTCTTCGAGCCGACGCTCGACAATTACCGCGAGGCGCTGTTCGAGGACGGCGTTTTGCAAACGCTGATCAACTCGTTGATCATCGCGATTTCAACCACCGCGCTGGCGTTGGTGCTCGGGATACCGGCTGCCTTCGCGCTGGCCCGGTTTGAGTTCCGCGGCAAAAAGGACCTCTGGTTTTGGTTCATTACAAACCGGATGATCTCGCCCATTGTACTGGCGCTTCCATTCTTTCTGATCGCCCGCAATCTCAACCTGCTCGATCGGCACATCACGCTTATCCTGATCTATCTGACGTTCAACCTGCCCATTGTCATTTGGATCGTCACCGATCAGTTTCGCGGAATACCCATTGAACTCGATGAAGCCGCCCGTATGGAAGGTGCGTCACAGTTCACAATCATGAGCAAAATCTGCCTGCCGCTCGCCATGCCCGGCGTGGCGGTATCCGCAATCTTTTCGTTCATCTTCTCATGGAACGAGTTGATGTTTGGCCTGGTGCTGACGCGAACCGACGCCAAAACCGCGCCAGCGATGGCGGTGTCCTTCATGGAGGGCTACAACCTGCCTTATGGGAAGATCATGGCGACGTCGACCCTCATCGTGATCCCCGTCTTGATCTTTGCGCTCATTGCTTCCAAGCAGCTTGTCCGAGGCCTCACGATGGGCGCCGTGAAGTGAGGATCAAACGTGTCCCGGAAGCCGAAAACTGAAATTCTCGATGCCGAGGAACAGTTGCTTGTCCGCCTTGCCTACGCCTGCGAAGTGCAGGGTCTGACACAGGGGCAGGCTGCCGAAACCTTCGGGATTACACGCCTTCGGGTCAACAAGGCCCTTGCGGAGGCGCGGGAACGCGGCCTGGTCCGGGTGTCGATCAACTCTCCGCTCGGCGCATGTGTCGAGCTGGAACACGAACTGTGCGATGCTTTCGATCTCGACAGCGCGACCGTTGCACCTGTCGCCGGCGAGAACTTCAATATTCATACCATTTTGGGTTCCGCGCTTGGGCAGTTTCTGACCCGGTTTCTGGCGCGCGAGGAGGTATGCCTGTTCGGTATGTCATGGGGTAACACCTTGAACATGGCCACCCGCTTCATTGAGCCTCTGGACCGCCCTGATCTGGAAATCACATCGGTGATGGGCGGCCTTGCCAAAGGCTCTGACGTCAACAGCTACGAAATCACCACGCGTCTCGCCGACCTGTGCAACGCGGCTCACAGCTACTTCACCGCGCCGGTCTACACTGCGAGCCTCGAAAGCCGGAACATTCTGCGGGCCCAGCAGGAGTTCCGCCGCTCAATCGAGAAAATCCGCGCGGCAGACGGTCTTGCTCTGGCCGCCGGCGACATGGCGAACTCCCTGCTACTCGCAGATGGTCTGCCTGATGATGTGACGATCGCCGAGCTGGTGGAAGCGGGGGCGGTGGGCGACATCATGGGCTATTTTCTCGACCAGTACGGCCAACCGATCGACCACGAGATCAATCAACGTATCCTCGGTCTCGACATTGAGGATCTTAATGACTTGCCCAACGTGATCGTCGCCGCCGGCGGGATCAACAAAGTTCCGATAATCCGCGCAATCTTGAAGCGTGGCTGCGTCAATCATCTTGTTATCGATGAACGCGCGGCGTTGTGCCTGCTGGAGCCTGTCCGGTGATTGTCGCCGGCATTGATCTGGGCACTTCCGGTATTAAGGTAGCCTTGGTTGATGAGGGCGGAACGTGCGTCGCAAGCGCGAGCCGTCCCTCTCCGGTGGACGCACCCCACCCGGGATGGAGCCAGCAGCACCCTGATCAATGGGTGCGGCTTACCTTTGAAATCCTTGATGAGCTGGCCACGGATCATGGGCCGTTGATGGCGCGTCTGCGAGCCGTATCGCTGTCCGGTCACATGCTCGGTCAGGTGCTTCTCGATACAAGCGACAGCCCCACAACGCCTTGTATTCTCTGGAACGATCAACGGTCGACCGCTGAATGCGCTGAGCTGCTGGAGCGCGTACCCGATATAGGTTGGCGCACCAATGGTCAGCCCGATCCGGGGCTAACTGCGCCAAAGTTGCTGTGGCTGGCCAAACATGAACCTGACGCGTTGCGGACCGCAGACACGCTTATGCTGCCCAAGGACTATGTTCGCCTGCATTTGACAGGAGAGCGGGCAACGGAAGTCACTGATGCGTCTGGAACGATGCTACTCGACTGCGCATCGAGCAGTTGGGATGACCAGTTGCTGGCGGTTGTGGGCTGGGATCGCACACGACTGCCACCGCTTCTGAAATCCTGCGACTATGCAGGCCAGCTTCGCTCCGAGCTTTGTGCGCGTTGGGGGACACCGAACACCGTTATGTTCGCTGCGGGAAGCGGCGACAATTACGCTGGCGCTTTGGGCGTGGGGGCGGCAGTTCCCGGCCGGGCCGCCTTGAGCATAGGCACGTCGGGTGTCCTGAGCGCCGTCGATGGCAGTTTCCATCCGGCGCCGGACAAGGCGATCCTTACGACGCCCCATGCGGTGGATGGTACGTTCTTGTCCATGGGTGTGGTGATGGCGGCGACCCAGGCGCTGGACTGGCTGGCGCGGCTCACCGGTACGCCCGCTGGGGAGTTGGCGGGGCTGGCCGCACAGCTGATGCCGCATGAGATCGAGCGTTGCCCGGTTTCCCGAGCATCGATCACCGGGGTCCGGACGCCGGACAACCGGCCAGACGCATCCGGATTCATCGGCGGGCTTAGAGGGGGGCACAGCAAAGCCGAACTCGCCTACAGCATCATGGAGGGCGTGGCGATGCAGTTTCTCGCCGCCTATCGCGCGCAACGCGCATCGAAAGTCCCCATTGCATCAATCCAGGCAGTGGGCGGCGGAACGCGTTCCGTATTCTGGACCGGCCTCATAGCCACCTTGCTCGAAACAACCTTGGCGGTGCCTAGACAAGGCGAACTCGCCGCATGTTTGGGCGCAGCCCGCATGGCTGCAGCCGCACTGGACCCGGCAAACGCCAAAAGCATCTTGGGCGCTGTGCCGGTCTCAACCAGGAAGATTGAGCCGAACCGGGTGCTGCACGAGGCGTTGCATGATCGCTTCGAGATGCACCTTAGGCTGCCGTTCGCGACATAGGGCGTGATGTTGGCAACCATCGACCCTGCTGACGCCCTTGGCTGTATTTGACGGCCGGAGCTGCTCTTTATTAGCCAAGCAGAACATTTGTGGGCTCCGGCGCGTCGATATCGCCAAGCTTCTGGGTTTCGGCTCTGAGTTGCGGCGGTACGGAGTTTGGCATGCGTGTTTCCTCTATGCTTGTGTCTTCGCAGACGTCATTCCGCACACTCAGCAAGTCTTAGTCCCCCCCCCCCCCCCCCGGCATTTTTCTTTTGTGGCAGAGCGGCTTGCATCCGCTTCGGGGGTGTCTAGAGCACGTCTGGTTCAGGTTGGTTCATATCCGGCGTTTTTGAAGCAGTTGGCGCATTCGTGCGGTGACGGGGTTGGGACCAACCGGCCAACATGACGCCATGTGTTTTCAACGGATCGTTTTTGTGCCGTGCGCATCCAGTGCTTGATCTTGGAGAAGCTCTGCTCGATCGGGTTGAGGTCCGTCGAATATGGCGGCAGGAACCACAGCCGCGCGTCAGCGGCGTTGATGGCCGCGCGGACGGCCTTTGATCGGTGACTGCCCAGATTGTCCATAACGACGATGTCACCTGCATGAAGGGTGGGCACCAGATGCTGTTCGACCCAGGCCCGGAAGCATTCGCCATTGATCGGGCCGTCAAACACGCAAGGCGCGTTCCGAAGATTCCGCAACGCCGCACCAAGATGAACGCTTCGTTAGCTCTGATCGGTACCCGGCGACACGGGCCCCGAACGCCTTTTCCGGCGAACAGGATACCAAGCCGGCAATAGGCGAGCCGACCACGCGCATCGGTCGATCCGCGCAACTTCCTGCACAGGACAGCGTCGTCACGATCCGGTTGGTGGCGCTGAAAGACAGACCGACAAAGGTTCGCCAATTGGCGCGCTCGGCTCTCCGCGAGGCCATGCCGTTCAATCGGGCCCCGAGCATCGCGCTTCTGTCGACGTTCGGTTGCTCACATTCGGACATGTCCAAGCCATTGGGGGCTCAGCAACCGTGAGATACGATCGCCGCCAGACGGTCTCACAAGCACTCTTCGAATAGCTTGCGGGTGTTTTCCGCTGTCATCTTGACCGGGTTGCCGCCGACGCTCGGATCTTCGAGCGCCGCGGCGGTCAGCGTGTCGAGATCGGGGGCGGTGACGCCCAATTCGGTGAGCGTCGCCGGGATGCCCAACGCGGTGTTTTGCGCCGAGACGAAATCGCAGAAGCCCTCATAGCCGCCCGCAATGCCCATATAGGCCGCGGCGCGGGCAAGCGGTTCAGCGACCGCTTCACAGTTGAAGCGCAGCACCGCCGGCATCACCACGGCGTTCGTCGTTCCATGATGGGTGTGATGGTGGGCGCCGATCGGGTGGCTCAGCGCATGAATGGCGCCCAGACCCTTCTGAAATGCGGTCGCGCCCATGGCCGCGGCGGCCATCATGTGGCTCCGCGCTTCGATATCGGTGCCATCGGCATAGGCGCGCGGCAGATAGTCCTTGACCAGCCGCATGCCCTCGAGCGCGATGCCCTGGCTCATCGGATGGTAGTGCGGCGAACAATAGGCCTCCAGACAATGGGCGAACGCATCGAGCCCGGTGCCTGCGGTCACGTGCGGCGGCAGTCCGACGGTCAGTTCGGGATCGCAGATCACAACGGCCGGCAGCATTTTGGGATGGAAGATGATCTTCTTTTCCCTGGTGGCCGTGTTGGTCAGCACGCCGGCGCGGCCAACCTCGGAGCCGGTGCCCGCCGTGGTCGGAACCGCCACGATCGGATGGATGCCGCACGGGTCGGCACGCGTCCACCAGTCGCCGACATCCTCGAAATCCCAGACGTGTCGGCTCTGGCCCGCCATGAACGCCAGCACCTTGCCCAGATCGAGCCCGGAGCCGCCGCCAAAGGCCACCACGCCGTCGAACCCGCCCGCGCGATAGGTTTCGAGCGCTTCATCGAGATTCTCGCCGGTCGGATTGGGGTCGACGGCGGAAAAGAGCGCGTCGCCAAGCCCGGCATCTGCCATCTGTTGGCGCGTGGCATGCGTGATGTCGAGCTCGGCGAGCCCCCGGTCGGTCACCAGAAGCGGCCGCGAGATCCCCGCCGTCTGGCACGCCTCGCCAATTTCAGCGATCCGGCCCGCGCCGAAGCGGATGGTCGTGGGATAGGACCAGTTACCGTTGAGTTGCATCGGGTCAGACCTTCTTCAGATGGTAGGATTTGGGGCGTGTCAATGCGTGATAGGCCAGAACCGACAGGCCCGTGCCGCGACCGGTGTCCTTGCAGCCTGTCCAGCACAGCGCCGGGTCCAGATAGTCGCAACGGTTCATGAAGACGGTGCCGGTCTGCACCTTGGCGCCGATGTCCAATGCTGCCTGCACATCGCGCGTCCACAGCGAAACGGTCAGGCCGAAATCGCTGTCATTGATGCGTTGGATCGCCTCGGCATCGTCCTTGACGGCCATGATGCCGACAACGGGACCGAAGGTCTCATCGCGCATGACGCGCATGTCATGGGTCACTGCCGTCAGGATCTGCGGGGTCAGATAGGCGGCACCGTCATCCTCGGGAAACGGCGCG